GCGCACCTCTGATTTGTCGCCACAGCACATCCCTGATTTGCCGTCGTCGCGCGCATTTTTCAGAGCTGTTAATCAGATTCTTAAGCTGTTTTTTGATTGTTCATTTACAAAACTTTTTAATTTCATAATTCCCAACTTTCTGCTGAATAATGAGCTTTTTATTTCCCAAACATTGACCTACGAAATAAATCAATGCCAAACTATCATTTGAACTATCGAAGCAAATTTACGCATACAAATACGTAAATTCAGCCACACGCAAACAGGCGCGCATGTGCGCGCAAGCAAACACGCAGCACGTGCGGGCGATGACTGTAACAGTCAATAGCGTAATCAAATCTTAGATAGGCACATTGCGTTAGGCTAATCAATCAATTTATCAATCAGTCAACCTAAAGTTGTATGTGTGTCCATTAGTCTGTTTGCGTGTCTCTGCTTCCCTGCACGCACGCATACGCGCGCATGCAACATTGGTGTACATCATTTTCGCAGATGCATATTGTACAGAAAAATTGTTATCTTTCTATACGACCGCGCTTCTACAAATATGTGCACCAATACATACTCACACACCACATACACACACACACACACACGCACACACTAACATAAACACATACAAACATACGCAGATGCAAACACGTTTCCACGCAATTATTTGAATGGATGTTGATGTCAGACATTTGTTGGCGTCTTCATAAACCAACCACATCAGACTCCACGACTGACCAATCAAACAATAACGCCATCCATCGTTCAAACAACCAACCGGTCAATCAATCTATCAACCTAATCATCAGTTCACCAGTCAGTCAACCTATCAATCATCCAAATCAATCAATCAACCAGTCAGCCATTCAACGAACCCAATCAGTCTATCAAAAAAATGAATATTTTTTTCAATTATACACACCCTCATTTCGTATAACAATTTTAACCACATAGGAGCAAGTAGTTTTGATTCTGATGAATAAAATAAACGAACTTTTGATTTTAAATTTTATTTATTTACAGTTTCAAAGAATGTTCAAAGTTAATAGACATCTATGAACGTTAATGAACATCAATGAACATTAGTGAACATTGGTGATCATTGGTGAACATGGGTGAACATAGATGAACATTAGTGAACATGTAATTAGGTCATCATTAATGAACAAGTTCAACAACAAATGAAATAAAAAACATTTTTTTCTTGTTCAAACATGGGAACCAACTGAAGCTTAAAAACAAAAAAAAGTCTGCTGTACACGTTTTATTTTCTATTTTATCAAAAATATTTTGAAAATTTATCATAAAATAAAATCCTGAATTGAAATTCTTACCAACTTCTTAATACTAAATTTTGTAGACGTGAAAAAAAATGTATTAATCTTCCACTGTTCGTTTTACGTGTGTCACTTCTTTGGCACAATATTTCATGAAAAATAAACAACAAAAACAACAAAACAGCACAGAGAAACATTTAAAATAAATTGCAGCAACAAAAATTAAAGCAAAAATTAGAGTCGAATTTGAAATGAAGTGCTTGAACTTACTCATTATTTATTTCGCAACCCACCATCGCATTGAAACATCGGGAACATTTTTAAAAATTCACGTCACGAAAACACTTTCACATGAATTATTGAAACAAATATGTAGTTTTGTTGTCTGTTCTGTGAGTAAGTGTGTGATTATATGTGTATTCACAAATACATTTCAATGAATAATTGTTAACATTTTGTATTCCTGTATTAGGACGACACGGACAAACACCAAATAGCACGCACAGACGATATTAGTTTTCTCGAAATCGCACACTAAAACACAAAAGTTGTAAGAAAATAATTAAAAAAATAACACATATGAGTTTATATAAAGATTTAACTTCACAAGGAATGTTTAATAATAGCATCGCTTCAATATAAAAAAGGCTTAACGTTAACTTGCATTTTAGCAGAATTAAAATATTTGATATAAATATTATATATTTTTTATTCATTATTTAAACGTTTATTCATGCACGAGATATATATGATATTTATGACACATGATATATTTATATCATTGTGTTGCAGCAACACGTGTTAAACACCAACAACTTACGTTAAATAACAATTTATTAAACATGACATAACATGCTAAAAGTATGTTTACATCACATAAAATAAAATATACATACATTTCGAGACATTAAATATGTAACATCACATACACACACACACACACACACATATACACACATTAAATATGTAACACCACATACACACACACACATATATACACACATTAAATATGTAACATCACATACACACGCACGAGCGCAAAAAGTAGAGACAGGAATCTACATATTTTACAAGACAAATGTTGACACGTGCGCGCGAAAATTTACGCATAAACAAGAGGAAGAGAAAGTGACGTCACACAGAACATCGGATGATAATGATAGGTAAACGAACAAACGTTCATACTCAAACAGAAACAGACGAACGTCAAGAAGAATCACACAAGCTTATACTTGTGTGCACGCACACATAAATACATTTAATAAGCCGTGTTCTTGTACATGTCTTATTAAATGAAAAACAAACAATCACACGCACGCACACACGCGCGCACACACACACATTCATACACAAACGTACATATACATTTTTTTTAATTTGCCACATAATTTTATAAAAACATGTATAAATAAACAGGCGTACGTTAAAATACAAACGTAGACACAAAGACACACTTGCACATACAAACACACACCTTCCCAGGCGTATAAACACGTACACTGCATCTCACTAACAACCTGACGTGACGGAGATCACGTAAGGTCATTGTGATATTTGATAGGTTGGTTTTTTTTCTCCAGCTTGAACATACAAAAAATATATACAAGCCTAGATACTAACTTAGATACAAACACATACAAACATATGAACAAACATATAAACGGATACAAACATAAAACATAGCACCGACATACAAACAAAGATACAACGGGATACAATCACAATACATAAAACTAACTTATAAACATAGAGAGGAACATAAACACACAATACAACCATACCACGGACTTATTGAAGCATTTTTTAATAAAAAAAAATACTAGCATGAAAGTGTAAACAAAAAAAACGAACGAATGAATGAAAATATTAATTAAATTTATACAATACATGTTTATCAAACAAACATATACAAATGCATATACGTTAATTAATAACTTTGAGTCTTATAAACACACATCGGAATATATTAGCACATTTCTATATACACACACACACACACATATATATATACACACACATACATATATATATATATATATATATATATATATATATATATATATATATATATATATATAGATACATAAACACACACACTCATACTCATTATAATAAATGCAAAAAACATATAAACAAAACAAAAAGCATAAAAATACATCAAATGCATTCACATTCATGCACAGACACACAGACACACACCACATTCACACACACACACATTTAGCAGGATATAATAAAAAATCTTTTCCTTAAAATATTAACTCGAACATATATTTATACTGTGGACCTTATATAGAGGAGAGAATTTGTCGGAGCATCTTATCCGACCATCATTTGGAATGTAGAAATGTGATCAGAGATGAGTGAAAAAAAAAGATGATGATGATATATAATGGATATAATAATGACAATGATGACAATAAAGATGATGATGACAAAATGGTGACGATGGTGACAATGATAATGATGATAACAATAATGATGACGATGATGACATTAATGACGATGATGACAATGGTGGTACGGATTTCAATGATTACCATGGTGGCTATGACGAAGATAGCGACAATATTTGTGGTGATACGACGCCGACCTGTGGTGTCCTGGTGAAAGTGCGATTATGTGATGATGACGACGACGATGTTCTGAGGATTATGATGATGAAGATGATGGCGATGACGTCATTACTATGAAGATAATGATATGATAATAATGATGGTAAGGTACGGATGACGACGATGATGAAAATGATGCTGATGATGACCCGATAAGGACGATGACCGAGCAAAAAAAACACATGATGACCCCACGACACCATGTTATCATTCAAAACGCATGGCACTTAAATATACTTAGACAATTTATACACACACACACACACACACATATATATATATATATATATATATATATTTATATATATATATATATATATTTATATATATATATACATACGTACATAAGCATATATACAAACATATATGCACGTGTTTTGCACGCATTAAAACAAACAAAAATATACAATTGAACAAACATAACAGAACAAACAAATAATCAATGTTATATTGTAAAACAATTTCTTTTAAAATTTGCATTTGTATATTTCTACAACATTTAAACAAATACACAAACATACAAACATACATACATTTACAGTTTAGATTTAGACAATTTATTTATACTTTGACAACAATTAGGATGGATATGTATGAGAGTTTATCAGTATGTGATTCACATGAATTTATATATACACTATATATATATATATATATATGTGTGTGTGTGTTTGTGTGTTTGTTTGTGTGTGGGTGTATGTGCGTGTATGTGTGTATATATGTCGTCTGTGTAATCACATGATCACCATAGATGTTTCAATCAAAGAATTGGAAGAGAACGGCTGATCCTAAAAGTGCACTTGAGTAATAAAAAATATTTCAAAAACCACCATCAATCATCTGTTACGTCATTAAAACCTATGACGTCATCGTCTCCGTCGTCACTGCTATCGCGATTTCCATCTCCGTCACCACTATCATTGCAAATGCTATCATATCACCGCCAACATCTAGCCACCACAAACATCATCATCGTCGTCGTCGTCATCATCCTCCTTAACTTCATTCACCACAAACATATAATGAAATAAAATTTAAAAACTCTTCTCGATGTTATAATTGCCAGATATAAACGTCTTACATTACGTAAAATTACGTATCTAATGATACACGAACATATTCTAAAACACTTTTTTTTGGCAACGTTTAAAATAAGCATTTGAGTCTAGAGAAATTTCAATTTCTACACGTCAATAACAATTTAATTAACAACAAGTTAATATAACATTAACAACAATTTAACATTACCATGACAACAACATGACATCACATCAATTAAAAAAATTTCGATTCCATTATTTTCGTCATCACATTAATAATAAAGATTTAAACACACGGAACGAAATTCAATAACAGTAAGGTAGGTATATTTATTACATTAACATTGACAGAGATGTTATAACGATGGACGATAACAAGAATTTAATGACGTCAACAAAAATTTAATAAACATAAACAGTATATTTGATTACATCAACTACATTTTGATTACAATAACAGAAAACTTAATTACCATAACAAAAAAAACTTATGCTGTACATACTTACATTAAAAACAACAATATTAATTACATTAACTCAACAATTTAAATATAATGGGAAAAAATAATTGACATCAAAGACAATCTAATTACAATAATAACGGTCTATTTACACAAACAACATTCATTTATTTACATTAAAACCATCAGTTTAACTACATTACATTACTCAAAAGTTTTATTACAGCAAAAACTAAAATTAACTTTTCACATGTCATTTAACATAATGATCGAATGAGCCCAAGAACTGTGCGGACGATCTGTAGCAGAATGAGTAGATATCCTGCGAATGATTATGTTAATGATGATTATAATGATTATGTTAATGATCATGCCAATGATTATGTTAATGATTATGTTAATGATCATGCCAATGATTATGTTAATGATCGTGCCAATGTTTATGTTAATGATAATGACCATGCCATTGATTATGTTAATGACCATGGCAATGATTATGTTAATCATTATGTTAACGAGTGTGCTAACGATTATGTTGATTATGATAATTCTGAAGGCGAAATTAATAATGATGATGTTAATGATATGGTACGGTGACGATAATGATCACGAAGGAGTTGTCGATTGTAATGTACTGGTCATGATGATTAAGATTTTTGAAAAAGAGATAACAAAAAGTATTTAGAAAATTGAAAATAAAGATTTAAAAACAAAAAAACGCAATGAAAGCTGCCACAAAGACCACAAGAGCCTACCTCAGTAGTGACCATACTCATCCGCTGGGTCCTAAGTATCTTAACAGTTTCAAAGACATCGACCACACCTTCAGTTCTCATTCTTTCAAGAATGTAACTCAACGAAATAAAGGCCCCAGTCCTGGCTGACCCTAACTCGCAATGAATGACCATCGGTCTAGTTGGGTCCACCAGCTTCGATCGCGTTGTTTCCACCTGACCGATGAAGTTTATGAATTGCTGTCCTAACGTGGCGTTTGTTAGGTGAGTTAGGGATGACGTAAGGGAAGTTGATGAGATGTACTTCGATAGATGGCAGTCGTCCTGGGGCCAGTTGAGGAATTGGAACTGGTAAATTATTCTTGATTGGCCGTCCTGTTTGGTTGAGTTGTGGGTGATGTTTGTTGGTTGGATTAGTAAGGCCGTTAGTTTTTACAATTTTAAGTAAATGTTTTAATTAAAATCAAATCATGTTACAAAAAATTCGCAATTGATAACATTTTTAAAAAACTTTTTCAGCAAACTTATTAATTTCTCATCGCCAAATCCAACATTAAAACCATATTTGCTAACAGCCACCATCAGTCTTATCATCATTACTAGACCAGCCAATCACATCAACGCACTCTGGCATCGGTCATCCTGAACTCTCTGACGATATAGTGGCCAAAGTTGATGGTGGACGAGGGGTCTAAGACAAAGTACTGGTACCTCATTGATCTTTCCACTGGCCAGTACTGCACACATCTCTCCTGCAAGTGTAAGTGGTTGACTTTTGTTTAGTTAGAGTGATAATCATTACACAGTTTTTTTGTATTCATCATTTTTAATTTATTATGTTAGTTATATAGTTTTTAAAGTTTTAAAAAAAATGTTCATTTTTAATAATCATTATTTTTTAATCATTATTTCATTTTCATATTTGTTTATACACTAAAAAAATTAATCTTCTAAATAAAAAAATATTAGAAGCTAAAATTGCAAACCAACCCTTCCAGCCTCAACAAGATTGGTGACCATGACGATGATGCTACAATCGGTATCCCAAACCATCCGCCAAAAATCATCAACAGTCGTTGCTAGGGGAGACTGCGTCGCTATGTAGCATCTCTTGTGTCTGTAGCCCTAAGGAGGAAGATAAAATCATTTCTACTACTACTACTACTACCATTACTACTACTACTTACATTACTAAAAATACCATCTTACATACAGTCTGATTATGATATACAAAACTTTGTATATGCTTTAGTAACACATTACAATTAAAATATCTTAACTCATAACCAAGTTAATATTTTTTCTTCTAATTTGTATTTTTTCTTCAAATTTGAAAAGAGAAAGAGAGAGAGAGAGAGAGAGAGGCAGGGAGGCAGAGAGAGAAAATCTAAAATTAAAAATGTCCAGAGTTAATGAAGAATGACGTCACTAGTTAGGAACATACGTCGATATAATTGGCGTTGATGTAATCAGACCCTTCGACGCCTCTGATTGGCTGAATGTTGACGCGCGTCGAATCCACTGAGGACGATGCATGAACATTAAGTTAAGATGAATATTAATAAAATTCTGAAAAAAAATTTCGCGTAACTTGGTCGATTTAAAAATTATAAACATGAATATTTAAAATATTTTTTTCTATAAATTAAACGTTGAAATTAATAATTATCGGACTAAGAATAAAATATTTAATCAATGATATTCACATCTCAAAAAGCAACATATCCGATGCTACTGATACAACTGTTCGTACTACTATGACAACTAGTATTATAACATCGCTGCTGTTCCTTGCTACTACCACTAATAACATTAGTGGTATTTACTACTGCTTCTGCTACTACTGCTACAGTTATCACTACTTTTACTACTTCTACAGTTACTACTACTACTACTATTACTACTACTACTATTACTACTACTAGCATAAGTAATACTATTACGACCGCTGCTTCTACTTCTACTATTGATGCTACTACTACTACTGCTACTGTAGCTACCGCAACTACTAGCAAAAGAAATGAATGATGAAGATTTATGCATTTACATGGTAGGATGGCAGAGGACCTATTCTTCATCTTGTTGAATGGCATGTTCGCATATTGAAACTGCTGAGCCTCGTACCTCACCACGGACAGCCTCTGCATATTCAATAGTTTCATTCATTTATTTTTGAATTTTTTAGAATTTTAATTATAATGATAGTTTATCATAACAAAGCATTCATTATTCATTCTGAAAGAAAAATTAAACCATTGATAAAGAAGACCAATAGATAAGAAACAGAACATGTAAGCGACATCATAACAACAACAAAATACTATTAACATAAATAACATTATAATTACTAATAGTAGCAAAAGTACTTTCTTTAACTTCATTGATTTTAAATTAGTAGGAGCAAGTAAAAAATATTTTCATTAGAACGAACAGCAAGCCAACCTGAAATTCATCTCGCAACCTCTGCGCACCCGCCTCACCAGCTGCCAACAAATCTCGAACGTACTGGTTCAGATTGTCAGCAGTGACCTCCGTGTTGGCAGGGCTCGTGACCCCCTCGAGGATGGCCTCGTAGATGAACTGGTACTGATCATCCGACTGCACCATGTAATTTCGCTGCGATCGTAAACTCGTCACCACGTTGAAAATGTCCACTGTTTCTGAACCGCGCATGATTCTGTCCATGCAGGTGTCTATGGCGATGAGAACGCCTGTCCTCCCGACCCCGGCGCTGTTTGCAAATGTTCGTTTCATAATAATGCAAATCAGCCAATTGAAGTGGCAAGCGCATGTATCGTACTGCAACAAAAACTGCACGGTGACAAAGATTTCAAGTACAAATGCAACTGAGATGAAATTTGTCTGATTTATTAAATGCACGCAACAGAACAATGTAGAGCGACCCCATTCGTGGCAGCCAGCCAACCTGCAATGAACAACGATAGGACCAGGCGACAATTCGTTGGCAGACTTAACCCTTCTTATGTACTGCAGTAGTAAGGTCGGATGGCTGGGCACTCCGTAATCTGGCCACGATGTGAACTGCAACTGAAACAACTCTCTGCTCTCTGAACAGTTCATCTGGAAAAGTCGACAAATTTATTTTCCGTCATTATTCTATAATTACATTTTTGGTTTAAATAGTAAGAAATTGATAAACTTAAATTACCGCTGAAATTGGTATTCATGGACGAAAAAAAAGAAATATTTATTGAAAAAACTTTCATCTTACTTTTCACAGAAATTAAACAGAAATTATGAAACAGCAAACGTTAATCAACAGTCGACAAATGATTTTCCAATGAAAAACAATGATGATCCCGTAATTCAAGCAAGACCTTAGATAAAGTGAAGGTCCTGATGATGTAGGATGAAAGTTCAAGGACGTCCTTCAAGGTCACCTGCATCACGCCGTACAACTGGCTGCCTATGTCTGGCCAGTACTGATCGCATTTCACCTGGACGACGGTTAGTTAGGATTTCAAATATTTGAATTTTTCATTATGGATATTTTAAATTTTTAAAAAGCTAAACGTATTTTTTCAAAAATTTATTTTGATCTTTAGAAGGCGAAGATGTTTATCAAATAAAAATAAAATGAAGAATGATGAAACAATATTTGATAAATTTTTTAAAAAATTATTTATTCTAGTAAAAAAAATTATAAACGGCATTATAGGAGATCGCAAGTTTGAGAAAACATTTTAGAAAATGTGTCAGCCAATTAAATAAAAAATATTTTAAACAAATCTCGAAACATAATTTCAAAAACGCACCCTGCTTCTCTCTTCCAGCTTGGTGACCATGGCAACTGTCGACACCCTCTCTTCCCAGATCATCCTCCAAAAATCACCTATGGTGTCCAATAGAGGGCCCTTTGTGAAGTATAAATTTGTGGTGTTGATGATAATGATGATGTTGTGATGATAATGATGATGATGATAAGATTGTGATTCATATGATGATGATAATTTATTTTACGAAATTATTAACGAATAATTAAACAACAACAAAATCAAACAACACACGCACAAACCTGCGTAGCGATGTACAAACTGCCACCGTTATTGAAGCGACAGTCGATGAAGTTGGCGTTGATGTAGTCACTTCCTGGAACACTCGTGGCTGGTAGGATAACTCTAGAGTGATCATAGGCCACCACGTTCGCGTACCTGTTCTTACACCTGTTCACTTCTTCGTTAGAGGCACTCCAGGTGAATTGCTTACCTGGTGGTGGTTTTTTGTGACGTTATTCGTCTGTTTGTGTGTGTATTTGTGTGTCGGTGTGTGTGTCTGTGTGATTAGTTGGTGTATGTTTACGCGAATTGTGTAAATCGTACGTTTAATAGTGCCTTATTACTGATGTGTATTTTGTTTTCGGGTTAACGAGTTATCATATTCGATCTGTTAATATGTTTGTATTTGCTAGCGTCAGAAAAATGTTTGTCAAGAAATTGTGCTATGGTCCTTCCTCACCAGAGTCAATGGACTCATACTCCTTCTTTAACATTTCTCGATCTTTCAACTTCAGCAACTGAACCCTGTCGAGCAGATGCGAGAGTGGGACGGATGTTGGCAGGCTGCTACTTCCTCTTAATCCTCCCTCTCCTCCTATCATCGTTGTTGGGATTGCAATGATAAATTATACAAAATATAAAAAACAATGTTTAAGACTATGAACACACAGTTTTGAGGTCAAGTATAAGGCTACTCATTAAACTTAACATTACTCTGTGCTGACTGGTTCATCCAACCTTACAAATGTACATCACAACCAGCAACAACTGACTACATGCGCGTGTGAGATGCAGAAGCATTTAAGCGAATAAACAGACAAAAAACAACTAACCAGTGAAACTATTGAGTGCATTTTGATTGAATTTGTTGTCATATTCATCCGAGGAGCCATTCAAAAGTGCATCGACTGGATCAGAAGCAGCAACTCCTCTATTCAAATGAATCAGGTATTCCTTGTTCTTCTTGTTCTGCTTCCACTTTTTCTTTCCACTCAACGATGACGACGTGGTGTTGATGGATGATATTGCTGGAATGGGAACCATTTTACGGGGTCTTCGTCTGTGTGTTCAGGACGTGTAGGTCGGGGTCAGTTGAAATTAACTAGTTCGTTATCTAGATATGATTATAGAACTGAAATCTGGTATTATTAGTTTTATTGATATAACGTTGAAAGAGAAAAAATTTTGAAAAATTTTCTAAAATGTTAAAAATCAGAAAGACACACTCAATTGACATATAAAGATACTGACGCAAGCAAACAAGCCTAACCTTATAGATACGACAATGAGAATGGTAACAAGCACCATGATGAAAACAGCACACAGCGGTACAACGATGAACAAAAAGTGAAGTTTTTTATCGGATGAGGTCCCCCCAACTTTTGGTTCGCCACTCAGATGTGACTTCACCGGGGTGCCCACCAATGAACTGTACTCGCTGGATAACTCCTCCCCCTTGTAGTCGTTGTTGTTGTTGTTGTTGTTGTTGTTGTTGTTGTTGTTATAATATTTAATATAGATCAAATAACATTAATGAACGATTAACAATGGTGTAGAAATAGAATTTTAATTATGTGAGAATTTTACAAATTATTTTCAAGATAAACTAAAACATGATAAACTACATGTTTAATTCATTCATTCGCTTCAAATTTTGTCTAACAGTTGAAAAAAAAAATATACTAATAATAAATATAATAAAACGTAATTCCATGATGAAATCAAATGTTGCCAATAAACGACACAATTTTCAACCATACAAAATAATTTCAAACTTGGTTACAGTGTTCAGGACGAGTCTGATGAAAAAGCAATAAGCATTATTGACCAGATCCAACTTCCTGTTATTCGTCACTTGGTCTTTTAATCCATCGCCCACTACAAACTCGATGGGGAAATGTGATTGATCGAACTGACCACACATCCACGCTTCAGGGCTGCTGCCTTTCGAGACCAACTGTTTGTAGATGAGAATAACAAATATGCAATAACACAGCTTTTCCGATAAAAATATTTATAGTCAGATTTACATAACAATATCAACAAAACTCTTTCAAAAATTAACCTCAGATAGTTTAAAACTAGATGGTTTTCTTCTTGAGGCCAGTGTTTCCTGCACGACAACTAAATAATATGTACCTTCCATCTCTGCCTCGTCTTTTCCTTCCAATTTAACAACTGCCTGATGTGATGCTGTCGATGAATTAAGCTTCCACTGGATGACTTCTGGTGGATGGAGAACTTTCTTACTGCTGGTCATCGTCGATGTTCCCAGAGAATCCAAGTTGGCTGTAAGGACATGATGGGGAGGAATGATTTTCAATTGAAATGAAATTTTATTCAAGGTGAGTAAGCTTTTATTCAGTTTAAGAGTTTGACAAAGGTTTGATAAAAATAAATAAATGTAAATAATGTCTATTTGATAATTAAGTGTCATTTACAGACTACGCGAAACTTTTTTCATGTTTTAATTTTATTATTATTTTACTTGTTGTGAAAACAGAATAAAATAATCCTTCTATGTCTATTTTGAATGAAAAAAAAGATCATATAAAATTAAAACATTGGTATTGAATAATACCACGAAAAATATAGAATCATAAAAAATGAAAAAACCTTGAAGAGATGTCGACGGAGATGAATGTGGAACCATGTAATGGAGGACTGAGGCTGACCCAAACTCGTCCATATACTTAGCAGATAACTTGAATTCGTACTCCTTACCAGGCTCTGTTAAGTTAATTACATTAAACTAATTAACACTGTATAATTAAATAAATGACTAATTAAGATATTAAAAAACTAATTATTTAATTAAATAATTGATTAATTACATAATTTATTGTACTACTGATATAAATATTAAATTTGTATCAGTGTTTCGATAATTTTAAAATTGTTGTTGTTGGCACGGGTTAAAAATTCTTCAAGAAACTATCGACTAATTTAAACAAATTTTATTAGTTTTACAGTTATACCTTCTTTTACTAATTTTTTGACAACTTGTTAAAATTCCAATAAATAAAAATATCTATAGGTGCTAAACTTTTGAAACAAGGATCAGCATGATAAACTCCATATATCAATATTTACTGACTATTAGTATGAAAATCTCCGCATACAACATACCCAAATTTTCCACTAGGGTCTCATGTACATCCCCACTAACGATGATGACCTGTTCTTTATCATCATCTATTTCATTTCCATCCTCATTGCCTTTCCTACCTTTATCATCAACATCATCTTCATGGTCATCATCACCATCTTCGTCGTCGTCGTCATTGATGTAGAAATATTTTCGTTGGACGACAAGTTCATAGGCTTGCACGTGTTTCAGTTGGTTATTGGTTCGGTGAGGTGGGGACCACGTCGCCCTGACGACGGGTGGATCGTTCCGGTGCATGTTCAGCTGGAAGTCCCGCGGCTCGCTGATCACTAACGTAAATTGCATTTCGTCGTTATGTAACTTTCAAGCAATTATGATGCAGAAATATTGTCGTAAATACTGAAGTTTCATACTCGTGTCACAAATAAGAGATTAATAGAACATATATTTTAAATCAATTATGTAATCAATTATTAACCTCTTCATCATTCAATCAATCCATTTGTCGGGTTAAAAACAAACCAATCAACAAATCACGTGTTATACTGACCGACGTTCAGAGTCCTAGATCTCTTTGGTTTCGTTTTTGTTCCATTGGCCATCTCTGAGAAGGCTGATATCTGGAAGTCGTACGTCGTCGCTGGCTTCAAATCTTTCACTGTGAACTCCCTGCTCGAGGCTGGTGGCAATGAGCAATTTTACAAAATTAAAAAAAAATTTGAAAATAAAAACTTTACACAAGTTAAAATGAATAACAAAAAAGCTGCTCTGCATTGCGCAAAAATGGTATGTACGTTGTAATTGTTTCAATGATTGTTGGTTCAATGTTAACATTTACATCGAATGAAACGAAGCGGAAACAATCACGATATAAGAAATGACTCTGAAATGTATAACAAAAATCATAATAAGTTTACATGCCACAAATTTGCATTCAAACATAATTTAGCAATTAGTTAACATAGCCTACCATTTGTTATCTTGTGCACGGTGTGGCTGCCAACATATTGATCATTGTTGTCATCGACTTCGGTGTAGTAGATGTAGTAACCTCTCAAGATGCAATTGTTCTCAAGTGGTGTCTTCCAGTTGACGCGGATCGATGTTGAGGTGGATGACGAAAGTTTCAGCTTTCGTGGTTCGCCTGGAACTGTTTATGATCATTCGATGTGCGTGTTTGATTGCATTGGTGTATAAATGTTTGTCTGCTTAGTTTTATGATGAATAATCTGAATAGAATATAGAATTGGTGTTCATTTTTACGTCCATTTGAAACTGGCACCAAAATGTTTACCGAAGAGGAAAAAACTAACTTCCTTCCAAAGTTTGGATCTCGACAACATCTGACCATGGCCCCTCCCCTTGTACGGTGAACGCATTCATCTTCAACTGATGTTTCGACCATTCCACTAAATTCATCAGAGTGTAGGATGTTTCGGTCGGTGACAATGTTATCCTTTTCCCGAGTTCCGGTTTTCCAGTTTTTGTGGAAATGGGCGTGTCGTGCAAGTGATAACCGAGTATTTGACCGTTTTGAAGGCTGGGTGGCAGTGGTGACCACGTGATTTTGATTGACGTTTGATCGATTGGAGTGTATTTGATGTTCACGGGGGCAGAACTGGGCACTGAAAAGGTTTAAGTGATTTTAAAAATTAATTTATTCATTTGGTTCTTTTTCGTAATATTGAAATATTTTTCTACCCTCTTTTGTTAGTTGTTTTATAAATTTCTTGTACAACTATTCAATATAAAAACGTTTTTTAAATATTCAGTTTTTCTAAAAAAATCGTCTCATTAACAAGTCATTAAAATGAAAATTAGCAAGTAGGTGTTGTAAAAATCAAATAATAACTATGATTTTTTTCCTATTAAAACAATTTTTATTATTGTTTCATATTTCAACTTTCCTAGCTAACCTGACTGAAGAGTCTTGACAAGAACGGGGTCCGTGAAGTCACTCAGGCCATTTTTCGTGTGAGAAGCCAGTTTGAAAGAATACTCCGTGTTCGGCTGCAGATCGAAGATGGTTGTGTTCATCTCACTGATAGCATCATTCAGTTTGGCAACTGTGATGCTGGCGTTGACCACTTTGGAGTTCTCCACTTTGTTGCCGTCTACCGTTGGAATGTTTACGTAGTTCATGACGTAACTGATGACGTTCGAATCGTTGGAAACACTCCACGAAAACGTCAGCGATGTCACTCTCCTAGCGAACACTTTGAAGTTTTCTGGAGGTAGGACATCTGACGGGTGGATTTCAATATTTTGTTGAACAGTTTATATTTATTCATATTGTTAGAATTTGTTGAAACAATATAATTAATCATCGTCTTCCTTATTTTTAAATTGCATTTGATCCTCGCTTTGTTTTGTTTTTCATCGAAACTAGCAAATTAATAAAACAAGCAGAGTTAACGTAATATTACCAAATAAAAGTAGAAAAAGCCAGCAAATCCCAAATAAACACGGTCACCGACCTGTTTCATCCAGGAACTTGAATGTTGCATCAGAGCAAGGACCATCGCCGTGTTCGTTGAAAGCAGACACGCAGAAGAAATACTTCACTCCTACCTTCAACTCCTTTATGGTGATGGGACTGCCAGCTGATGTCCTCACCTTCCATGTCTGCAGTGGCGCGTCTTCGTTCGTCGAGATAAAAACTTTGTAACCCTGGCAGATTAACAAAATTAGTCAAAAATTAGAAGACATGAATGAAATAAGTAGGTTCTAAATAAAATCTCCTGATTTTAAATAAAATCAGCGTCATGTATCACCATTAACATTAAAATTTTTTCCATGTACAGCAGTTTGCTTTGATGAATTGTTCGTGTTAATGTGTACATTTTTATACACAACACAAGTAATGTAGGTGTTGTATCCTATACAGATAGGGTTAGTCATTTCAGTTACACTTTGACATTTTCATGATTGATAATTTTGTTACACTCGAACATCAAATGAACCACGGGACCTGAATGAGACTGACCTGAACGGGGCTGTCGGGCTGCAGAGGTCGGTCCCACTTGACGACCACCTCACCGGGAATGGAGAGAAGTTTGATGTGGCGAGGAGCTGATGATGGTGCTGCAGCCATGATGGTGATGATGATGATGGTGGTGATGATGATGGTGGTGATGATGATGATGATGATGATGATGATGGGGGTGGTGGTGATGATGATGCGGATGGTTATGGTGATGGTGGTAATGATGATGGTGGTGGTGATGACGACAACGATGATGATGATTAGGGTAGTAGTACTGCAACGATGATGATGACATATAAGACTACAACTAAAGTAGTGACGATGATGACGAAAATGGAGATATAAAAAACTATTAAAAAAAGGAGTAATTATAAAAATTCAGTTCGCAAACATCATTAGCTCTAGTGATAAAGTAAAATCTCGCAACGATTGGGCTGTTTGTCACCTGAAGCTTCCGTCCTGAAGGTCGCCATCAGGTTCTGACTCACGAAATTCTTCATCATCATTCTAAAGGTGGCATTGTAAGCACTGTATGGCTTCAAGTCTGTAAAAGTAGCCTGTAAATTTCGAAAGCAAACTTTCTTTTTTTCATTTTTCTTTCTATCCGCAGTTAAAATTTAATAACATCTTTTAACGAGAAAAATTCAATTTTAAATTTCATTTCATCAAATAAATTTTCAGATATACTTGGATCTATCTGTTTTCTATTATTAATTTTTCTTTATATACCTAATGGTGTTATTCTTACCAATAATATATTACAGAATCTACAATATTTATAATACACAACGTTTTATTACAGTTTATTATAACAGCTAATCTGAAAGAAAGTTACGAGGTTTGTAAAATTAGAATAAATTTAAATTTGTTTAATTCGACCTCTCTAGCGTTACTTTCCAATTCTGCGGTCTTCAATTCGGCGTTGTGGCTTTCTAATGTGACAACAAATTTCATGGCGTCATCGTTGTGGCTGTCGTCGTCATCGCCACTTTTGACGTTTTCCGTCGCGTCATTCTCAAACGACCAGACTAACCTAGCCGATTTTGAAGTGACACTTGACGCTTCGAACGAGTTAGGCATCTTAAAAGGAGCTGCATGCGTTTGGTGGAAAGGTTTTAAATTTATAGCATTTTATATGTGAAGTTAATTCAGAGATTATTGTAATTCTTTTAAAAAGACTTTAAAAAACTTTGATTTTAGTCAGTTAATCTTGCAACTGCTTCAATCAATTTAAATATTTTAGAAATAAATTAAGAACGACTTACGTTTAACGGTGACTCGAACGTTGCTCGTGACCTTGCCTAATTTAGATTGACCTCTGCATGTGAGATCCAGAGACCGTCTGATATCTTTCAAGTTCAGCACGGCGCGTCCTGCAATCAGAAAATTTATTCTAATTAAATCATAAAAAAATAAACAAAAAATAAATCGTCTATAATGGCCGAAGCAATCATCAAGCAAACAGATACACAGGGCAAACTTCAAAATAACATGTTCGTAATATTACAACAGGTAGCAAGCATAGCATGTACGAATAATTAAAGCACGCGCTGCACTCTGTACTCTACAGTAATTCGATTATTGCTATTGCAGCTTAGTGAGAATTTGACAAATTAAAATAATCACTTTGATCAAATTTTAAACGTATATTTCAGAATGAGCAAGTTCTTATATGAAGTTTTAAAAGTCTCACCGTGAAACTCTTAGTGGCCTCAAGATGTAAAAACAAGATGGATGGCAGGCGTAGGTCGAGGAAAAACAAAGAAGAAAACAAGGACGGTGATGACAATGGCGAATATGAATGGCAGCATGGTGTCGATGATGACATTTGTTATTAATGATCTATATAATGGTGGCGATGCTGACGGTGAAAAAGTTATGAACAACTGTGTCAGTGACTTACTTATCTCAATAAAAAAATAAAACAAGCAAAACTAATTTGAGATTAATTATCATGTTTCTCACTCAAAAATTTTCGTATAGCTAATTTTATTTCCAAGAAATTAAATCTCACAAAATTATTATCCCAATACGCAGATGAAAATCGGCTTTTAAATATCTGATTATAATCATATGCACATATCTGTGTGTGTGCGCGTGTGTGAGTGTGTGTGTGTGTGTCTGTGTAAATCTACATTTCAGTAAATGAAAACACACTTCTGCATCTATATAACATACATTTTATTTCAAAGAACAGCATGACAGCAGCTATCTAAGAAACGTCAATATATTGTTTCTCTAACATATATATGTAAAACATCATCACCGTAGTTGGTGCGTTCGGGTTGCATCTGTTCCTCCCCATCCAGCCATTCCACAGTGGGCACTGGAGCGCCCATGACGATGCAGGTGAGGTTCAGGTCGCTACCCTCCGTCACGCTCTCGTTTTTGGAGAGGAATGAGAAGTACGGAGGTGTCTGCCTCTCTGTCAGTCACGAATGAATTCAAGCTTTTCTTAGGTCCGTTTTAATTATTAGTCTAAATTTTATTATCAACTTTGTCAGTTCTATGGGACTAGATTTAAAAATGTAATTTATAAATAAAAACTGATTTAAAAGTAAGAACATTTTCCAATATAATAAATTTTGCATAGTGTTTTGAGGCGATGGAGTTAAATAAATATAAATAAAAGGTAGAATAAAAATGATTTTTTTTATTTAAATAGAATAAATAAAAAATTGAAAAGAGAAACAAGTAAACAGCAGTAAGTACAAAAGAGCCAACGACCTTTGATGTAAATTGTAAAGACGGAAGAGAATGCAGTTCCGTGTAGGTTGGTGGCGTAACATTCATATTTGCCCGAATCCGATTCAACAGCTGACAATATTTTTAGACTTGAACTCGTCACTAGTTTGAGAAAAATTAAAAAAATAATTGCTACATGACCGTGACATGATTTATAGATTCTGAATAAGTTTTGCTTGATTTTTATGTAACAATTATATTAAAATTAAGATAATGTAGAAATAAACCTTAACAAACGATTTACAACCAAAATATATGAACACAAACTACAAAGTTAAACTACTGCAACACCACAAAAAAAAAGAAAAATTTGAGTCAGTTACATAACATACACGTCTGGTAAGAACGAATCCTGCTGTCTGAATAGTCAACGGGCAGGCCATTCTTCAACCAGTGTACTAAAGGGTTCGGCTGGCCCTTGAGGGGGCATTCGATAGCAAAGGGTCGTCCACTCTCAAACGTGTTGATTGGCTTGTTAATTCCCACACTGCTTGGAAATCCAGGAATTACTGAAGGTAAAAGTTATTTCATCTCCGTCGGTATGCTTCTCTTTTGTTGTTTATTCAAGGCATGTTACGTGATTTTACAAATTTATTCAAGTTCAATGAACATCTTTACTTTATTTTATTTACTGAATACTCAATTGTTTGAATTTTTGAATTTCAAGTGTCAATAACACTTATAACTTTTAATGAGTCCTATTAAAGCAACTAGCACTGCGCAAATACATGCATGCAACAATCATAAAGCACAAACAAACTATCGTCTATATACATACAGTCTGAATCGACCTGAATTGGACTGTTTTTACATGTTTATTTTTATCATTGACAGTGAGAAATGAAAAAAAATAATTCCATCAATTGAAACCATCTGACATACGCGTGCCTTGTTGCAATGAAATTCTGTAATAGGACAGCGAGTAACTTGTGCCAACACTAATGAGCCTGAGGCACGATCCTCATCAGCATTTTGATTTGGTCATTTACATTTGTAATATGAGATTTCATTGCTCATTCAAATGATCTTGGCTTGCTTCATTTTTGCTCAAAATAGAAGAGCGTCACTTAAACATGTAGTACCTTATTTTAAAACTAATTTCAAGTAAAGTAAAACCAATTTTCTCGTTAATAATTTTTGTAAGAGAATGGTAAATTCAATCAAGTCACAACTAGTGTATTAATGCAATTAAAAAATTTCAACACAAATCAAACAAACCAGTGTTTTTAGGAACAACATTTAAGTAAGCAGACTCGGACATGAAAACATCATCGGCAACGTTCGCAGTTCCGCTCGAAGATACCTTCCTCCTCCTTCTTATCTGACACCTGACTATTCCCTGATCCTTCTTCCGAACGGATTTGAACCTCAGGACGGAGACATCGGGGCCAACGATGATCTCAAGGTTATTCCGCTGTTTATTATTCAGAAAGGTTCCATTGAGGTACCATTCAAGAGTGTTGAGATGGTCTATAGACGAGATGGTTGAGGAACAAATGAATATGGCTTGTTCTGACTCGAAAACTGTTTGGTTTTCTGTGTCGATATAAAATGCTGGTGATTCATCTTTCCTGGAGTCTGTTTGTTGTTGTTTTTGTTGTTGTTGATGTTGCTTGTTTTTGGTGGTTGTTGTTGTTGCTGCTACTGCTGTTGTTGTTTTAATGAAAAATATTATATCATTCAATTTGTGCTCTGTCTAATGATATGTTTGTTATTGAAATAAATGCATTTAATTAAATACTTGATTAAAGAACAACATTAGAAATTTAACATTTCAAGATTTAACTAATATACTTGATTAAAAAAAATTATAATATTAAAAAATGAATAATAAATGAATTTAAAATATAATTTAATTGTCATTCAAACACTTCAAAAATCATCTATACATTATTTTTTTATTGAAAAAAATTAACAAACATATATTTTGAATTGAAGTATATGAAAAAAACGTGAACAACAAGAATAATAATAAAAAAAATAAATTAAAAATAAATTAAAAAAAATTAAAAATATTAATCAAATGAACATACCCAATAGAAATGACAGTTGGATGGTGAATGGTAGGAAGAGGATGCTAATGAAGCTATATGATGTGATCGTCCCCATGTTTCTTCTCACTCTGCACTTTAAATCATTCTGGTAGGTAGGTAGATGATGATGATAACGACGATGATGAAAATGATGATGATGACGATGATGAAAATGATGATGATGATGATGATGGTTATAGTCATCGTAATCACCGAAATCATTAAGAAATGGATTTTTTTAAATTATTATTTTTATAAACATCAGCTTGTTATCAGCTTGAACATCACAATCACCGTCACCATCATCATCTTCATAGTCATCATCGTTGTCATCATATTCTTATTCTCCCACATGTCACCCGCTATAAAGATGAGAGGTTTACAAACAAACACACACACACACAAACGAACATGCGCGTACACAAACGAACACACACACACGTACAAACAATTTGAGAAATTGTTTGCGCAGTCATATAACACTTCGCTACGACGGAATCATTTGCTCAGTGATAAAGGAAGATAAGAGAGATGATTACGATGATGATGGTGGTGATGATGGTGACGATGATGATAACGATGATGATAACGATGATGATGACGATGATGATGACGATGATGATGACGATGATAGAGAAAAAGAATATTGTAATGACGGCAATTTAAATATTAAAACCGTGCCAAAAAAAACGTCGATAATATTTCGACGTCGTCTTCACCATCATCACCCTCACTATCTTCATCATCATCTCCTTTATCATCGTCATCACCACCATCACCCTCACTATCTTCATCATCATCTCCATTATCATCACCTTCACCATCATCATCATCACCTTCATCACCATCACCGTCTTTACCATCATTGTCATCATCATCGTCAAAGCTAAAACATCATCACCATCATAATTCTTGTAGAATGTAACCAGTAATTTGAAATACGTTATACATATTCATTAATGTATTATAATATGAATTTGCATAAATGAACATATGAAGCAGTCTATATATAACTCGATCAACTCAGCGAAATAAGAAAAATAAATAACAAAATATATATATAAATGGAATAATAAATGCTTGTGTAGTGTGTGTGGTGTGTGCGTGCGTGTGTACGTGTGGTGTGTGCGTGCGTGTGCATGTGCAAGCATGTGCGTTCTTCTAGCTTGTAAATAAATAAAACGAGCGTATTTGTTAATGATTGGTTTTTAATTGTTTAATGTTAAACAAATGTTTATCGTTTAAACATACATCATAAGGTTCGAATGGAATGAAGTTCCATTGTACGAGTTCGTGAAATGTTGTTTGAATAACACAACAAACCGTTCGTATGTTCATAAATATTTGCGTACGTGATGAATACATTCCTATACATTTCGTGTTGTGTTTAGTAATTTATTTAATTAAGCATTTAAATGTTTAACAAATAATAATATAAGTAATTGTATACATAATAAACAGATGTATTATTTTATTTAATCATTTTATTTAATCATTTTAATTTTTCATTTATTGTTTTAGTTATGTGTGGTTTGTACTTTGAAGTATGTGCTGTGCAAATACGTAGTCGCACATATACGTGTATTGTATTTTTGTGTTTACACGTGTGTGCGCGCGCGCGTGTATGTGTTTGTGCGTGTGTGCGCCTGTATGTTTGTGTGTGTGTGTGTGCATGTGTGCGTGCGTGTATGTATGTAGCATTACGTTGTATGTTGTGATCGTATTAGCGTATTTATATGACATTGTATTTTTAGCGTTAGTTCGCCTGCAAAACGTCAACCAATTTAGAATCGTTTAGAAAATTATTAAAGGAATTAATACAGGTGATGCCATGTGGTGTGGTGTGGTGTGAATGAAACGTGACTGTCCTAATTAAATAATTGGTGGTGCTGGTGAAATTAAATGCTTTTGTTGGCTCTGCTACTACTACTGTTGATGGTGATGATGGTGATGGCAACTATGATGATGATTATGATGATGATGAAGAGGAGAAGGAAGACGAAAATGATGATGATGATGATGCTGGTGATGGTGTCAACTATGATGACGATGACGATTACGAATATGAGGACGATTACGACTTAAATAAAACTGAGAATGATGATGGTGGGGATGGATGATGATAATAGTGAAGATGATGATGATGGTGGTGATGATGGTGATGATGAAGATGATAACAAATTAAAACAATGATAATAATGAAAAAAAGAAAACAAACCACACAACAATAACATCGGCACGTCAGAATCATCATCAGTGTACAAGTGAGTGAGTGAGTGAGTCTAATAAAAATCATTAAAAATACACTTGAACCGCTTCGACATGTGTTCCGCAGCAACTCTGTGTGTGTTGTGTGTGTGTGTATGTGAGTGTGTGTGTGAGAGAGAGAGAATGAACATATCTCTATGTTTCTGTATAATGACTACTTGAATGATCGTTTGTGAGAACGGGTAAATAATGCTTTTGAGGGAGCGCGTCTTTGTTAAATAGTGCAAACATAAAATAATGTACACATACACACACACACTCACTCACTCACTAGTTAATTAATATTCATACAAAACAATTAGAAGCTCTTATTAACACAATTGCAACACAAACAACCTGTCTAGTTACAAAAGAACAAGCGTTAAATTTGTTACAATGCAACTCAGGTCCCTTGTTGCATTCAATCGCGCGATGTAACGTAATTAATTACACGCAATAAATAGCTCGCCAATTAACGCTATTATGCAGTTTCTATATGTGTGTGTAAGTGTGCGCGTGTGCGTGTGAGTGCGCGAAAAATCAACAAGACAAGTAAAAACAAATCAACAACACAATAGAACAAATCAAGCCACTAGCCGGCCTACCAACCAACCAGCTAATCAGTCAACCAACCAACCAGCCAACCAACTAACCAGCCAACCAACCAACCAACAAACCAATAAACAAACAAGCAAACTAACCTACCAACCAACTAATCAACCAACCAACAACAACAGAAATGCAATGAAAATCATTAGAAGAAGCCGTGTGTGACGCTCATGTCATCTAGCACCAAGGTTAATTGAATGGCACAATCAACAGCACAACAACACTCAACACAACAACACATAAACACACACACACATAAACACACAACACTAACATGACGCAAAAAACGCAATCGAACAAAAATATCAATCAAGAAAACGTTCGCACAGCCAGGGATATTTTACATGTAAAATCCATTTTACTTTTACCCAACTTTTACTTGCAAATGAATCATTTTACTCTACTTTTACTTAAAGTTTCCCAATTCATTTTACTTTTATTCACTTTTGGCAAAATTCTTGATACTTAAGTGAAATATATCACCGCGTACAACACACAAACACAACACAACACACACCCACAACGACAACAAAATATAAACAAAAACAACACTGAGTGCACTGAAAAACACACAACCTACGAGTACAATGTACGTATGTATGTAAGTGTGTA